AGTACTGAACTTTATTCAAATTTTTTTTAATGGTACTGAACCATGAAAATGTACTGTACTCCTTAAATGAAATAAATATGTAAATATCAATATATTAATTACACCTTGATCATTCATGTTAGTTCATAGTGCATTAACTAATGTTATCAGAAACAAATTAAAAAATTTATTAGTCCTCTCAGCATCAGCATTGACGCCAAACATACTGTTGTTTTTTCTTTAGTAATGCAGAATCAAGTCAACAATTTAATTACTTTATAATGATATGAAAACATGTACTGTAGTATACTCTCTGTAGTGTAGAGTTTCACGTGTCAAAACAAACAGCACGAGGTGTCCAGGGTTGCCAGGTCTGTGTAATAAAACTAGCCCAATGGCCAATCAAAAATAGCCCTAATGTAGCCCAATGACCATATCCCAAATATCAAAACTCAAAATATGCAATTCGCATACTTAAAGTACATATTTTACAGTCACAATTATGCAAATTGAAAGCCACTATATCAGATCATAAACCTTACCAGTGGCCTACCACAGTTTTATTACTGGTAGAATCTAAAATATTTGAGTACAAGCATTTCAGTTAAATATAATTTATGCAATACGTCAAACCATTAACCCAGGGGGAAAAAATCAACGTGGCAACAGTTCAACCAATTTAATCCCACATTTTTCCCAGACATGAAAACATCCAAGTAATGTGTCATTAGTAACTCTTTGAAATAATCAATAATTATTTTGACATTTTTTAAGGAAAAGTGTGTGAAAATTAGTGTTTTATGGGATAATGTGTATACGGAAATAAATATTTCTGCAGTCATCAAAATTCTTATATATCTCAGCCCAGTTATTAACACTATTTTAAACTCTGTTTCATCACATTCTAGGGTTACTATTATACATAAAAACCCTTATACAACACTGATAGGAATACTGAGATAAAAGACAAAAATGTTATTATCCCAGCGGTCACTATTGTTGCCATCAACATGTTTACTCATTCTGTGACCACACTCAACAAAATGGAGTAATTGTAAATGCATATATTAATACTAGACACCTTAAAGATAATGTGTACCAAAAATCTTTGTCATATTTTTGTTAACATACTTTACTAACCTTTTGTTTTGGAGCTTTGATGCAGCCATCATCTTCTCATGGTGCAAACAGGAAGTAAACTGCTCTGGTCATTTGCACTAACCATGTGACACTGCACATATTTAATTCAGACACTTTTATTTTTTCTATATTAGCAGGAAATGCCTTAACACCAGTCAGTAACATTTTTAGAGCTTTATAAACAAAAACCTTCTTTTGGGCGCCCAATTCCGCGGGAAAACCACAGACTTGGCAACCCTGGAGGCATCAGTGAATCCGCCTCTACTGGTCGCTGTATAATAACAGCAACGGACGCAACCTGGAAAAACTATCGGTATGGATTTTTGCCAATAATCAATTGTTCCAGCAATCAACAATTGGTGCCGATTAATCGGCAAAACCGATAAATCGGTCGATAGGGTGCTATGAGTGATTGCCATGTGTTATCTAGAGGGTTTATATGGTTGCTAGGGTGTATAAATGGTTGTTAGGGCATTGTGCATGTTTCAAGCTAAATCTGCATGCATTCGGTGTGAGATGATGAACAGAAGTTTAGTTTTTCCACATCCAGTGTAACAGATACAGGTGCAAACGCATCACATGTTCTCCTGTTCCTCGTTGGTCCTGATTAGAAATCTGCTCTCGAGTGTGCTGATCCTATAATTGGACTCGGAGATAATGACCCAAAGAAACAGAAGTCGCCAGCAAATCAAGCCTCGACCTTTGAGCTTTGATACGCGGGTTTGAATCTGGCTTTATAAGTTCCAGCTTGTCAGAGCTTTTACAATATCCTTTCTTTCTTGCCTTATTCTGTGGGGGGTTTTTTCTCCAGTCAGTTCATGTTTCTGGGCCTGTATCTAGTTTGAGTCGTCTGTTTTCCTGAATCCAGCTCCGTCCCGTTTGGAACCCGTCTCCATTTCGCTTTTGTGTCCCGTTAAAACGCCAGACAAATTAAATGAGTTCGCCATAATACGAATGCAAAAAAACACGCCTCAAAAAACAAATTGTATCGCATGGAGGACGGCGCACATCTGCTTTCAATTCTCCATTTATTTTATAAAAAGGAAATTAAATGACATATATAACAATCTACCACCCCGAGTGGCTTTGGATTTCGTCGGCTCCGATTTTACCCACAATGCAGCTGTACGTATTGTCTTGCTGCAGTCGCTGCAATGCTTTCTCTTGTTTTCCTCCCTGTGGTTGAATAATGATAATTAATGGTGCTGTTGTTGGCGTTTGCAGGGCTCTGTTCATAAAGACACTTGTTATTTTTATATGTTGCCCGTGACTGGATCCGCCTTCCACTCCGGGATTGTGGTGACCTGATGGTTTCCTTCATGAAATACAGATCTCTGTTGGCAGAAACGCATGATCCAGAGTCGTGTCCTTTAGTAATTACAATGATGTTTGTGTGTGACCACTTATTACTGTCCAACCAAGTGCTTATGGCAGCTCAGATGATGTTGAATGCCTAATACAGTATGAAGCATGCGCAACAGACGGAGAACATCACATTCAGAGTGTGTCAGTGACAAATGGTGATCATGAAGAGGATTCATGTTGGTTTCATGCATTTTTGATGAATGTTTATACAGTCTTTTAACAGAAGTTTTGATTGAATGGCTCTAAAAACGTGGTTAACCAAGTAAAAATAATGCTTCATTCATGCATTGAATATACTGTAAAAAAAAAAAAAAAAAAGTTTTTTACAAATATATTTTTTGCTTCAAAATTTCACGTTCAGTGTGTTACCTGCCATTTTATTGTAATTATTTGTCAAATCTACTAGCAATTTCTGAGTGAGAAATGTAAGTGTGCACATCTCAACCATTATTTTCAAGATAATTTTCAAATAATAAATAATTTTCACATTTATTATCAAGAAAAGATATCAGTTTTTGCGTTGTAAAAATATATAAATATTTTTTATTTCAAAAAGGTTCAAATGAGCTAATATTAAAAGCAGTAATGAGCATCAGGTGTCATTTCGGTGATGTAATTTTAATACAAAAATGGAAATGTTTATTGTGTGAACATTTATTACATTTAATGTAATGAATAATTTAATAGTTATATTGGAATAAATAAACAGAATAAATGCAAGCCATGCATGTCACTGAACATACAGTACTTGAATATGATTTTTTCAAACAATTTTCAGAAAAAAATACCCTGCTGTTAAAAAGTTTGGTGTCAGTAAGATTTACAAAAAAGAAAAGAATACTTTTATTCAGCAAGGACACATTAAACAAATTGAAAATGACAGTAAGGACATTTATAATGTAACAAAAGATTTCAATTTTTTCACTTCATATTCATCAAAGAATCTTAAAAAATAAAATGCATCACAGTTTTCACAAAAATATTCAGCAGCACAACTGTTTTCAACATTGATAATAATCAGAAATGTTTCTTGAGCAGCAAATCAGCATATTAGAATAATTTCTGAAGATCATGTGACACTGAAGACTGGAGGAATGATGCTGAAAATACAGCTGCGCATCACAGAAATAAATTACATTTGAAAATATATTCACATCAAAAACAGTCATATTAAATTGTAATATGTCAAAAAAAAATTCAGTTTTTACTGTATTTCTGATTAAATAAATACAGCTTTAGTGAGCACAAGAGACTTCTTTCAAAAGCTTTTTGCGTTGTAAAAATATATAAATATTTTTTTATTTCTAAAAGGTTCAAATGAGCTAATATTAAAAGCAGTTATGAGCATCAGGTGTCATTTCGGTGATGTAATTTTAATACAAAAATGGAAATGTTTATTGTGTGAACATTTATTACATTTAATGTAATGAATAATTTAATAGTTATATTGGAATAAATAAACAGAATAAATGCAAGCCATGCATGTCACTGAACATACAGTACTTGAATATGATTTTTTCAAACAATTTTCAGAAAAAAATACCCTGCTGTTAAAAAGTTTGGTGTCAGTAAGATTTACAAAAAAGAAAAGAATACTTTTATTCAGCAAGGACACATTAAACAAATTGAAAATGACAGTAAGGACATTTATAATGTAACAAAAGATTTCAATTTTTTCACTTCATATTCATCAAAGAATCTTAAAAAATAAAATGCATCACAGTTTTCACAAAAATATTCAGCAGCACAACTGTTTTCAACATTGATAATAATCAGAAATGTTTCTTGAGCAGCAAATCAGCATATTAGAATAATTTCTGAAGATCATGTGACACTGAAGACTGGAGGAATGATGCTGAAAATACAGCTGCGCATCACAGAAATAAATTACATTTGAAAATATATTCACATCAAAAACAGTCATATTAAATTGTAATATGTCAAAAAAAAATTCAGTTTTTACTGTATTTCTGATTAAATAAATACAGCTTTAGTGAGCACAAGAGACTTCTTTCAAAAGCATATAAAAAATCCCAAACTTCTGGTAGTGTTTATGATTTCTGCATGATTATATGTATTTTTGGTGTCTTTTAAACATTATTCAGGCAAAAATATTTGAATCATAAAACATATTTGCAACCTAGTTGTTATACGGTTCAGAAATAAAATGTGAACCATATAACAACTACTTTGCAGTCGTGTGGACCCTCACAATTACACCCCTGTGACATTTTTAAAGTCGAGCCTTCAACAAATCAGAATGCCTTTCCACAAATAGATTCATAAACCACTTGTTAACCACATTTGTTTTGTATCTGTGCTTCTAATAGATGAGGACGTTTTTTCGTAACCCGCAGAACCAGAAATACTTCGATTAAACATTAAAAGAGAAAAAAAGCAGCGCATTCCAGGCCTTGTCGTCTGTGAAACCGGAAAACAAGAGCCGGCCTTCTGCCTCTGTGGAACTGGAGCGCTAATTCATAACAGATTTGCTTTTCTCTTGTGTTCCCCGACAGAGTGCCTACCGCAGGAACGGGATGACTTTCCTGGCCTGCTGAGGGGAATGAGAGGAGGTCTGGAGGAGCCGGAGGAGTCTCCGTCTGCGTGTGTCTTTCACAGGAAGTGTTGTGGACTGGCACGGATCTGGATTGGACGCATTTTGTTTAGTTGGTGTTCATGTAAACTCTAGTAATATGAGTTTCCTCTTTTGTAAACAGGTTTAATTTTGTATTTTTAGTCGGTTACAACCAATATTCCATAACAATTTCAGCTTTTTTGACGATGATGATGTGTAGAACTAGTTCCTGATGCTTAACTGTTTTTTTTTTTTTTTTATCTGTCTTTGTCTGGAAAGTAGGATAATGAAAACCCATCTTTTTGATGCTGTAATACTTTATCTTTCAGTTGTAATACCTTGCTTTTGTAATTTTGTACCATTTTTTGTTTGGATTTAGAGTATTTAATTTTCTTTCTTTTTTTTAGATTAAAAATCTTGGAATAAAAATGTGTTCTGTTTGTTTTTAAGAAAGAAATCATGGTATTACCATGATTAAAAAAAACACATGTGAATAACACGTTTATTTACTTATGAATTTTTTTGTTTTTTTATTTTTTTAATTTAACTAGAAAGTAAAAACCCTTCTTCTGTATTTTCTGTAATTTTTTATCCATTAGCTTATGGTTGTATATTGATAAGCTTGGAATGAATATATATATATATATATATATATATATATATATAAACAGAATAAATGCAAGCCATGCATGTCACTGAACATTGAAAAAATTGTACTTGAATATGATTTTTTCAAACAATTTTCAGAAAAAAATACCCTGCTGTTAAAAAGTTTGGTGTCAGTAAGATTTACAAAAAAGAAAAGAATACTTTTATTCAGCAAGGACGCATTAAACAAATTGAAAATGACAGTAAGGACATTTATAATGTAACAAAAGATTTCAATTTTTTTCACTTCATATTCATCAAAGAATCTTAAAAAATAAAATGCATCACAGTTTTCACAAAAATATTCAGCAGCACAACTGGTTTCAACATTGATAATAATCAGAAACGTTTCTTGAGCAGCAAATCAGCATATTAGAATAATTTCTGAAGATCATGTGACACTGAAGACTGGAGGAATGATGCTGAAAATACAGCTGCGCATCACAGAAATAAATTACATTTGAAAATATATTCACATCAAAAACAGTCATATTAAATTGTAATATGTCACAATTTTTTTTCAGTTTTTACTGTATTTCTGATTAAATAAATACAGCTTTAGTGAGCACAAGAGACTTCTTTCAAAAGCATATAAAAAATCCCAAACTTCTGGTAGTGTTTATGATTTCTGCATGATTATATGTATTTTTGGTGTCTTTTAAACATTATTCAGGCAAAAATATTTGAATCATAAAACATATTTGCAACCTAGTTGTTATACGGTTCAGAAATAAAATGTGAACCATATAACAACTACTTTGCAGTCGTGTGGACCCTCACAATTACACCCCTGTGACATTTTTAAAGTCGAGCCTTCAACAAATCAGAATGCCTTTCCACAAATAGATTCATAAACCACTTGTTAACCACATTTGTTTTGTATCTGTGCTTCTAATAGATGAGGACGTTTTTTCATAACCCGCAGAACCAGAAATACTTCGATTAAACATTAAAAGAGAAAAAAAGCAGCGCATTCCAGGCCTTGTCGTCTGTGAAACCGGAAAACAAGAGCCGGCCTTCTGCCTCTGTGGAACTGGAGCGCTAATTCATAACAGATTTGCTTTTCTCTTGTGTTCCCCGACAGAGTGCCTACCGCAGGAACGGGATGACTTTCCTGGCCTGCTGAGGTGAGCGAGAGGAGGTCTGGAGGAGCCGGAGGAGTCTCTGTCTGTGTCTGTTTACAGGTTTGTTTGGACAGGAAGTGCTGTGGACTGCCACAACTCTGGATTCAACGCTTTTTGTTTAGTTGGTGTTCATTTAAACTCTAGTAGTACGTTTTTCCTCTTTTGTAAACAGGTTTCATTTCGTATTTTTAGTCGGTTACAAGAAGTACTCAATAGTGTTGAACTAGTTTCTGATGCTTAATTTTTTGGGGGGTAAAAGTTGAGTAATGAAAACCCATCTTCTTTTTGATGCTGTAATACGTTATTTCTCCAGTTGTAATATCTGGTTTTTGTACTTTTATACCATTTCTGTTTGGATTTAGAGGATTTAATTTAATTTAATTTTTAGAATAAAAATATTTTAAATTCAATTATTTATTTATTTAAAGATTTTTAATAAAGAAGTCATGGTATACGTGAATACCATGTTTTATTTTATTTATTTATTTTAGTGAACAAGAAACTAAAAACCCTTAACTATTTTCTGTAATTTTTTATCCTTTAGCTTTTGGTTGTATATTGATAAGCTTGGCATGAATGTCTGTCTGTCTGTATATAATCCATTTTTTCAGGTATGGAAAAATCATTGTCTGTCTGTCTCTGTGTCTGTGTGTGTGTGTGTGTGTGTGTGTGTGTGTGTGTGTGTGTGTGTGTGTGTGTGTCTGTGTGTGTGTGTGTGTGTGTGTGTGTGTGTGTGTGTCTACTAGCAATTTCTGAGTGAGAAATGTAAGTGTGCACATCTCAACCATTATTTTCAAGATAATTTTCAAATAATAAATAATTTTCACATTTATTATCAAGAAAAGATATCAGTTTTTGCGTTGTAAAAATATATAAATATTTTTTATTTCAAAAAGGTTCAAATGAGCTAATATTAAAAGCAGTAATGAGCATCAGGTGTCATTTCGGTGATGTAATTTTAATACAAAAATGGAAATGTTTATTGTGTGAACATTTATTACATTTAATGTAATGAATAATTTAATAGTTATATTGGAATAAATAAACAGAATAAATGCAAGCCATGCATGTCACTGAACATACAGTACTTGAATATGATTTTTTCAAACAATTTTCAGAAAAAAATACCCTGCTGTTAAAAAGTTTGGTGTCAGTAAGATTTACAAAAAAGAAAAGAATACTTTTATTCAGCAAGGACGCATTAAACAAATTGAAAATGACAGTAAGGACATTTATAATGTAACAAAAGATTTCAATTTTTTTCACTTCATATTCATCAAAGAATCTTAAAAAATAAAATGCATCACAGTTTTCACAAAAATATTCAGCAGCACAACTGTTTTCAACATTGATAATAATCAGAAATGTTTCTTGAGCAGCAAATCAGCATATTAGAATAATTTCTGAAGATCATGTGACACTGAAGACTGGAGGAATGATGCTGAAAATACAGCTGCGCATCACAGAAATAAATTACATTTGAAAATATATTCACATCAAAAACAGTCATATTAAATTGTAATATGTCACAATTTTTTTTCAGTTTTTACTGTATTTCTGATTAAATAAATACAGCTTTAGTGAGCACAAGAGACTTCTTTCAAAAGCATATAAAAAATCCCAAACTTCTGGTAGTGTTTATGATTTCTGCATGATTATATGTATTTTTGGTGTCTTTTAAACATTATTCAGGCAAAAATATTTGAATCATAAAACATATTTGCAACCTAGTTGTTATACGGTTCAGAAATAAAATGTGAACCATATAACAACTACTTTGCAGTCGTGTGGACCCTCACAATTACACCCCTGTGACATTTTTAAAGTCGAGCCTTCAACAAATCAGAATGCCTTTCCACAAATAGATTCATAAACCACTTGTTAACCACATTTGTTTTGTATCTGTGCTTCTAATAGATGAGGACGTTTTTTCATAACCCGCAGAACCAGAAATACTTCGATTAAACATTAAAAGAGAAAAAACGCAGCGCATTCCAGGCCTTGTCGTCTGTGAAACCGGAAAACAAGAGCCGGCCTTCTGCCTCTGTGGAACTGGAGCGCTAATTCATAACAGATTTGCTTTTCTCTTGTGTTCCCCGACAGAGTGCCTACCGCAGGAACGGGATGACTTTCCTGGCCTGCTGAGGGGAATGAGAGGAGGTCTGGAGGAGCCGGAGGAGTCTCCGTCTGCGTGTGTCTTTCACAGGAAGTGGTGTGGACTGGCACGGATCTGGATTGGACGCATTTTGTTTAGTTGGTGTTCATGTAAACTCTAGTAATATGAGTTTCCTCTTTTGTAAACAGGTTTAATTTTGTATTTTTAGTCGGTTACAACCAATATTCCATAACAATTTCAGCTTTTTTGACGATGATGATGTGTAGAACTAGTTCCTGATGCTTAACTGTTTTTTTTTTTTTTTTATCTTATTTTATTTTTTTTATATTTATAAAACTTATTACATTTTTTAAATGTTTAATTTTTACATATTTTAAATAAAATATACAATTTCAAAATAAAAAAAAATATTAGTAATAAATTATAAATACTAAAATACTACTAATATATATAATTCTTGCTAAAAACTACCATGGTATTCACTTTTTTTTTGTAATATAAAATAATATAATAAATTTTTTTTCAGGTTTGGAAAAATCTTGGAAATTTGTTCGCTCATATATGTATATATATATATATATATATGTGCGTGTGCATCACAGAAAGGTAATGAAAATGATTAGATAAAGTGTGGAGCCCTGCATGATTTTGTCATGGTACACGTCCAAAAAATGGTAGTATGAGAGTACTTTTACTTCTTTTTTTTGTTAGTGAGAAAGATGACAGTTTCAGGTGGGCGTACAGATCAGAAGACCTCTACATAAATAAAGCACACGAGCTCATTCTCCAGCAGTTCCTCGAGTGAGACTCACTGACTGTGAGCATTACTAAGCACAGGTATCTCACAAACAGCAGTGATATCGTTTCTGAAACACGTGTGCTCATGTTCACTCTGACAGTTCTGAATGAGCGGACTGCAGCTGACTGTCGGGTGTTTAACGGGGCCTGAGGGTCAGCGCGGGTGTTGTGTTGTGTTGTGTTTGATGGTAATGCCCTCTGGGGGATCACAGCTGTTCCACTCACGTCTGAGAAAACTGCTCCAATCACACGGCCAATTGGAAACGCTTTGCCTATCTGAAGAGTATCAGCTTCTCTTAACCTTGATTTGTGCTGCTGCGGTGCACAGACTGATTTTATGTGCACAATTGCATGCATAGTGTTTTTTAAAAGAAACTAGTATGCACTGGATTCTATATTATCAGTTCAACATCTGGGGTTGCTAAATAAAAACACAGTGCTGCATGTCATGCATTGCTCTACTTGACCTTCCATTTCCAATGTGACAAATGACCCAGAATTGGTGCAAACCAAGATGATGATAACTCCTCTCACTTCATTAAACATGCAGTGTGATGTGTGACACAACAAAGTATCATAGTACTGTTTAATATTTGATATTTATTGTGGCATACTGC